TGCAATTTATGAAAAATACTTCTTAGATCTCAATTTAAGAAATTTGTGTTTTGTTGGCAGTACCAACAAACCTCTTTCTGAAGTTTCACATTTTTGTGAGGAAAATTGGCTATTGACTAGTTTCTTCCTGTGCTTTCAGAAATATATCCTTTCTTATAAAATCCATTGATGATGATAAAGGCATCAGTTCAGTAAGTTAAAAAACTTGCAAGCTGATGAGCAGCAGCTGACAAGACTAAGAATTGCATAAAAATAAACAAATAGCTGCATGCATTTGTGCACAACTTATACTAAATGTAGATTATATAAAACATACATCTATCTGTAACTAGATATATATATACCTATGATAAAATTTGGAAGGATGATAGTGTGGTAAAACAGCTGTTGTTTTTTTTTCCTGTACAGTTTACACTGATCTTTTGTTGTTCATGACTGGACATGACAGAAGCACTATTTGTAGACTAAGTAACACACTGTGACAGATCTAAATTAAAAGCTCTTTCCGACTGTTACAGAGTTGTTGTTGACAACTTTTTTTGTCCTGGCTTACAGCCATTCTTCGTTTCCTTTTCTTGATTTTTGATCTTTGGAATTTATCTGCTTGGGGAGTGGATCTTTTAACTGCTATTTCACTTTTTAGTGTCTATTTTTTTTACTCCTTCTTACCATTATCCTAAGTTACATCTTGTCCATCTATCTTATTTCTAAAGCATTCCTTAGAAAAGTTTTCTGTAGACAGTTGTTCTCTCAATTTCGCACTCTAGCCCATACTACTACTTCTGCTCTATCCTTTCTTACTTAGTTCCTCTGCTCTTAAGACCTGTTCAGTTGAGAAGCTCTCTTCACTAATGTTTGCTGCCTCACTCCTTATCTTCATGGCCTTTGTTGGGCTCATTTTCTTTGCCCAGAGGTATCCAGGGATGTTCCTGATCCCCTAGAGACCCAGATTTAGGCAGCCTGGCATCAGCCCTTGTTGTCTTCCTTGGTTTCTTGTCTTCATCAACCTCACCCTTCTGTTCCTGTTCTCAGGCCTGCTCAATCCATGTCTTCCCTTCCCATTCTTCTTCTCAAGTCTGACCCAGTAGCTGCCCAACTCTCTCATTTTGCCAGTCTTTGGTCTCCATTTTTGGCTGGCAGATTCAGGTTCTCACCCATGGCCTATCTCTCCACTTTTCTTTGCTTCTGTGCATTGGACCTGCTATTTTTGGATCCCTCCTATTGAATACATCTCGTAGCTTGTCAGGTACCAGGGGCTCTGAACCTGGCGACAGATCACCTCTCTTAGCTAGACTGGATTCTAACCACAGGGTGGTCTCTCCACCCTCAGGTTTAGTGTTCTGTTTGTTCTCAGTTGGTCAAATCCCTCAATTATGTCTTTGCCATTCCTCTCAACACCAAACTTCCACTCTTCTGATCTCCAGTTTCTCATCCTTCAGCTCTGGTTGATGCTGTCAACCAGGACTGGTCTCATCTTTTTACCTATGATTGTTCTCCTCTTCATCTTTTCCTTCAGGTCCTCACCTTGATTTGTGACACTCCTTATTAGGTCCTGTTTGTGGCATCTCTTTGGCAAGCAACCCCAGTTCCTTTTGCTTAATCAATTAAAATGTGGCCCTCTCATTTTCTGCCACATTCTCCCTCTCTCTTGCTCCAACCTCACACATCTCTTTTTCATCCAGAGATGTTGCTCCTACATCTTCATTTGTGGGATTTGTCTGATCCATTGCCTGCAGGGCTGGACTCATGTAGCTTTTTTTATCCCATTCCTGTCACCTTTTGGCATTGGTCTGTCTGCCACTTTCTTCCTCCAGGCCATCCTACTATGGCCCAGCTTTTGGCCTTTTTCACATGGTTATTTGGCTATAGATTGTCATTCTCCACTGTATCTAGTTAACAGACAGCTTTGTCAACTACATTTTGTCTTTCTCATTACCACCTGGTGTTTTTTCCCTGTCTTCTCCACTTTGTTCTGATCGTTCTTTCTCACTAACCACCTCATTTCATTCCCATGCCAAACTGGGACCTTAATGTAGTTTTATGTGTTCTCACTCATGCCACAATCAACCTATTGGCTTCTTGTTCTTTATACCATCTTTCTCTGAAGACATACTTCTTTCTCCTTCTTGTCTGTTGTCACTGTTGTTCAAATGTCTATGTCATCAGTGCTTCCCATACTCTCTTTCACTATACTTATTTACTCCTCTACCTGGACCAGTCTTTTCTTCCCAAGACTTTGGCTGCTTGGGAAGGTGATCCTTCTTTCTCTCCTATCTCTTTCCCTTCTGTTTCTCATCTCTATGCTCTTTCAGACCCAGATCATCTCCTCTGTCTGTTTTGGGCTGTGTGGTGTTATTTCTCCCAAACA